AGTTAAGTTTTTAAATCGAAGAACACTAAGGCCCATGGAGGTAAGGACTAGTAGAAATAAGGTATCGATGTCCTAAACATGAAAAAACTGAAGAATAATTTAAAACTATAAACTGATAAGTACATTTTTGATAATACATTACATTAGCCCATTCCTTTATTTCTATGCTTTTAAGACATTTTTAAAAGTGCTCTGGTTCATAAAATGATCCCAGCATCTCTATACAAACTTTAAATTTAAGGATCTAAAAGCCTTTGGTAAGACTACTGGTAGCTTAATATAAGAAGAAAAGAGAAGCTCAAATGAAAGTAACTTTTCTAAGGTCAAGAAGGAATCAACTAGGAAATTTTTCAAAATCTTAAGCACAGATTCACATTGACTTTATGTGTCGTATAATCTCAAATCTCTTGACAGTCTTTTTCTCTTACCCACTTTCTCCTTTTGTAAGAACCTTTCAACTTGCAATAAAATAGAAATTTTTATTTAAAAGGCAAGCTGAGTGTGTATCCTATTGGTATTTTTCACTGATACATTATATGACAGCTGTCCAAAGTAGTTCATATATTCCAGTTTCATGTTCCACTCCATATCCTGTTCCTAATAGCCTTAAACTTGAGTCAACTAAAAGCTCTAACAATGTTAAGTCTGACAAATTTTATTAATTAGCAAGAAAAGTAAACTTGGATCCAGAGATGATTATTGAATCACCAATATGAACAGATTTTAAGTGTTACATACTAGAAAGCTTCTGATTTTTATCTTCCCAGAGGTATGGTCTCAAAGTGAAAGCAGTTATCCATATAATTCCCCTAGTGCCACATCAGTGGTAATTTAATCTTACTGTTGCAAATTTATACTTTTTGCTTTGCTTTTATACTATAGCAAACACATAAAAAAAAATGGCTTCTAAGGGACATTAACTTCAAGCTCTGGTTCAGTGACAAATGGAGTTAACTCACCTGCCAATTATGTCTCAAAGTAACAACTACAAGGGACATTGAAAGAAGGTTGTATAAAAACCCAATCAGCCAGAGAGAAGGATTTTATACCAGCAGGAAAGAGCAGATAATCTCTTTCCTCAAGTTAAATTGACCTGGTTGCTATGTCTGCTAATCAATCCTAAATACACGGTTCCCAGGCAGGAAACCATTTCATTTGTCATTTATTGAAGGAGGCTCCCCCTGGCTGGGTTCCAAGTCAACAGGAGCTCACAAATCCCTCTCCAGGAACTGTGTTTCCTGGTTCAGGTTGGTTCTGAATGGAATCAGATCCTGTGGTTAAGTAACCAATAAGCTAAACAATCATGGAGACCAGAGGCTTATCAAAGCAAAGTTGTGATGACCTACTCTTAGCTCTTTATTCTTTTCCAAATGAGCCAGAAATATCTGATATTATTATAATCCAGGGAAAAGGGCATACTGCTTCCTCACAGAGGTATAGAAAGAGGAGAAATCAGTTACCTAGAAAATTTTCCACAAGTTAGAACTTAATTTAAGGCAAGTTTGGGAGAATTAGTTGGACTTAGAGAGCATATCAGGCTGGGAAAGTGGCATTAGCTAGTATATATAAGAGGAAATGTACATGTTAATTTAAGTTTTGAGTCAATGAGTAATCTGGCTGAAACAAAAATGTTTGTAAGAAAAACAATAGATATGACATTAAGTTTCTTGCTATAAAACCAGAAAGGGGAAACTCGGAATTCAGGACAAAGCATGTGTAGACGAGTAGATGAATTATCTATCCTAAAAGTACTTTTTGGTTATAATGATTTAATGGATGATTCTACACTC